CATTTGTGGGAAAATTCTACTTCTACCAGTCCTTCATCACCTTAAACGAAATTGGGTGAATACATCTTAATAAAGAGAACTTATCAAAACCCAGTTACACTTGGCTTATACCCAGTTGTGAAGGTACGATTGTGACCACTTGAGTCATGAGATCGTCGTGTTAGAGGCAGATGACACTCAGTTGGTCCACTTAATGACTTCGAGCGCTTCCAACCCTCAGTACCATTATTGGTCTCATTCTGACGGCCCCAGTCGCTGCGATGCAATCGACGTTAACAGTGCCGTGCGATGAGGACTCGTTGAATAGTGCCTGCCATTAGAAGAAGCGATTTTTGTCTACCAACCTGAAGGCTCCCGCGACAGTACCAGTTCGCTCTGATGCCCGCGCCAGTGAGGCAAGTGAGCTGGCGGCGACAAGCCATAACTGACGGTGTCGCTGAATTGCAAAATAAGTAGCAATACCGAGGGTGCCGTGAAATGTCAGTTTACCTTAAGCACTCGGTTGAAGAGATTCTTATTGGCTCTGGCCAACAGGCGGGCCAGACTTCGGCGTCGCCATGCCGCCTCCAGAGCTGCAAGGTAGATTGGTGTGCGGCCCAAATAGCCGACCGCCGGAAGGCCGAGTGGCTTGACGACCGCTGGGGCAGAGGACGACGCATGAGACGATTGACCCGGCGACTTGGCGGAAGAGACGCCGGTGACAACGGCAGGCTGATCCAAGACGAAAGTGTCGTTGAGGCGGTCCATTTTGCACAAGAAAGCCTCGAACTCCTGGCAACTGGCGGGCCAGTGACAAGCAAGATGTCTCCGTTCCGGCTGAAAAGGCAAATAAAAAGCGAAACAAGCCCGTCACTTGTAAGCAAAAGAAGAAAACTATAAGATATGAAGATCAACAATCTCGTTTTCCTAACACGGTCGTGTTGTCAGAGCGACCTCGATGAACCCACCGTGTCTTTACTCTTCTGCCTGAGTAGACATGATAATTCTCGGCGTGTAAATGTACCAAGTCCACTATTAGTATCAAAACCCACTCATTCTGAGTATTAGTAACGTATGTTAGTTCTATAAGTAGGTTGCGAGGTTACCATTAGATCATTATGTGACTGCAGCTTCAACTCGCACTTAGCGGGACTAGAACTTGAGTTGTGGTAATGTGGCATACAGTCTGGACATATTAACCCCTTAATCACAGAGCAGACGTACATTTTAAGGAAAGCCAGATCTCCTTCATATCTCTTTCTGTGGTAGGGTCGCGTCAAGGAAGCTATAGCAATCAAGCGCATTACTTATTTTCGTTTATAAATAGGTTTTGAAACTAACAGCAGATGATATATTTGATATGTATTTACCCTATTTCATGTAGACTGATGAAGAACTGGTAATTGTTTTTTTTTCATTGTGATATGAGTGTGGTGTAACGCTATATAATTGATACATACAAACCCAATACCGCATTGCTAA